CAAAAAACCAAATGCGTTATGGACCACCTGGCTCGAGGACATCACTTGTGAGGGAGTCCAGTCGTAGTCTAGCGGAGACTGGCCCGGCGAAACCTGGCGTATGTCCAGAAACAGTGAGGTTTGATTTTTTTTCTTCGTTGATATTATTGTTGTTTATTTTAATAATTATCGTTATTACTACTACTGTTATTATTACCATGATCATTGTTATCATTATTTTTTCTCATAAACGTATTAGTAATCAATCGTAGCGCGAGGAATTGTGAAAAATCATTGAGATTGCGTATTTTTTGCGGTAAATTTGTGGATCTTTTCGACGAGTTAGATGTGAGTTTGTTCGTGCAAATACGCAGAATTTAACTGGTCTCTATGCATGGCATCTACCCTGTGCATATTTTAGGTTGAAGTCAAATGAGGGAGGCCTAATGGATGGTGATCGTATTGTTTGGTTTGATGCAGAGGGCATCCCTCGCCGTGGTACTGTTCGATGGTGTGGCTATCTACGTGGTCACACGAAAGTTTACGTCGGGGTTGACTTCGTGAGTTCTTTTTTTACTCTTAGCCTTTACAGAACTGTTGTTGCTGGCAAAGAAAAAAAAAACTGAAATGTTCTGAAAGGTGCAAAATCATGAGCTGGATTTTTCAACAGCTTCTTAACAGTTTCTGTTGGAAGTTATCCACAAGGCATGAGATTCGATATAGGGTTTTTGAAGTTTCGAAAAAATTTGGGAATTTTTTTTTACCCTTCAGAAGCGCCCTTCTGCAGTTGTATCAGTTATGTTTTTTTGTTTTTTTGGTACTGACATTCTTTCATCAGCTTGCTTCTAAGCAACCACAAAAAGGAAATACCAGATGGTTGTTATTGCCGCTACGACTTGGGCTACTCCCGGAAGGCTTCTTTTTTCGCTGAGAGTGAGTATAGAGTTGCTTGACTTTTGACTTTCTGGATTATGTTTTTCTCATGATTTCGTTGTTTTTTCCTGTTAGTCTTCCACATGAGTTTTTTTGTTTTTAGCAAATTTTTTTTATTTCTTCCATGCCATAGAAAATGTTAAGCTTTAGATTTGAATGATCTGCGGTATCTAGCTTGTGAAATATGTCGTGCCCTCGGTCATGGTTATGATCATCGCGTTGTTTCGTTTCAGCTTCGGGTCTTCTGGCATTAATGAGGGAACATAATCATAACGAGAAGAATTGAGGGATATTCTTATTAGACGCAAAAAGATAATTGTGTAGATGCCGTACTTGAAAAAACCTGAATAGTAACTCATGATCCGGT